AATATAATAATTACCCCTGTAAAGTAAACATATGTTAGTAAAATCCAAAAAAAAAAAAAAATCAAATCTTCATCAATAATCCTTTCAATCCAATTTACAATCTCCATTTTTTTTCTCTTAACCTTAATTACTTGGTAAAATGCCACACCTACCAAAATAGACCATAGCATTAAATTTCAAATCGGTTGAAATTGTCTTTAAGAGTGATTGCCCAACTGCCTTCCTAGCAAATCCATCGGTTGTTGTTTAGTTTTATTATTATTATTATTATTATTATTATTATTATTATTATTATTATTATTATAAATAAATGCCTTAGCCATACACATTGGGACAAATTAATACCCTTTCACTTTCTTCCCATTTACACAAATTATATAGTGGTTTGATAGATATGGCCGACCCAACTAGTTGATTAACCACTATATTCGCGTAAGGTGTAAGCAAAAGAAAAAAAAAGGGGACTAGCTATATACATATTTTATTTGTTTGTATGCCAAACAACAAATCATAAAAATGAAAATATATAGAATTCATTATTAATATAATCATAATGCCCCTACACTACTAATTACTAATAATTTAAGAATTAAGTAGTTGTTATATATCATGTACTGATTGATTTATATATAACAACAACCTTAGTTCCTATAAAATAAATCAATAAATAAATAAGTAACACACACACACGCCTAGCTTTGAGGTCCAGAGTAGGAATTGTAACCAACCTTTAAGGATGAATTATTGGGTAGGTGTTGGGTAATACATCCTCTGATCCATCATTGATATAAATAGTGGACCACTTAATAGATGTATTTAATATTTTGACAATGATTAAAATTTAAATTATGATATTGTTATATTATAATTCTTTATCCCTTATTTTAAATTGTACTTATTAAATATATACATATTAGCTAGTTTAAAATATAATTATTATTACATTATATATTTATATTATATTATATATGTTTGCATTTACCTCTTCTTATTTAATTTGGTGAAAGTGGCTGGCCATCTTACCAAATCAATTCGTACTTTCTTGCTTTTATATTATGTGATTCATGATGATCTAGCTTTTATATTATAGCAAACCGGGGTAGGTACTACTACTACTACTAATTCCTACATAGTAAAGATTTGTTGGTTCAAATTAAGGCCTAATTAGTTCTTAAGAAACACGAATCGATGTGTATATCATTGATCAATAATTGGTTATTTATTACTTATGATGATTATTTTCTAATTTGGTAAACGTCAAAAGGCCATCAGAAGAATGATCACCTTTTGAAAGATATATTAGCTGATAAATAATATTTGACCCTTTCTATTAATATTGGTAGTAGCTTTTTGGTCAAGCAAGCTAACCATGAGTTGCTTTTGGTCTCTCAGGGTGGTGGAGCTTAAAGGCAAAGTTACTTGTAAGCAAATTCTTCTTTTTTCAAAAAATTGTTTTACAGTTTAAATTATAAAATAAAAAATTATTTTTATAAATTTAAAATTTTAATTTTTTTTAAAAACTTGTTTTCAAGTCATTTAAGAAGTTAAATTCAAAATTTTACTTCAACAAATTTTTAAATTTGTAAGATAAAAACTTAAAAGTAATTAGCTCCAGCCAAGGGCGGCCTCTTAGTCTATTAATAATTAAAGTCCAAAAAACAACATTAATTCATTATGAGAAAATATAAGGGAGAGGGGGTTCAATTTTCAACCCTTTTAGACAGGAGACCACGCAACGTTTGGACATTTAAGTACTAGTAACACTTTCTTTTAAATAAACAATGACTCCAGACTTTGATTAATTAGCAGGTTAGGTAAATAATTCAACTCTCAATTATAAGGATTTGTAATTTTCCGTTGTGACAAACCAAAGCAATCACAGATAAAAAAAATATATAATTATTATCTTTTGAATGAAGGCAATTTGAATAATGAAGCTGAGACTTGAAATATAGGCATCGATTTTAGTAAATGAAATGTTTGTTGGCCTCCTAATTAGGTCGCCATGATATTGGCTTTAGAATCAAGGAAGAATAGACAACCCCAAAATTTGAATTTATTTATAAATATGTGTTATTTTGTAAATTAAATTTAAAATTTAAGTTTTGAAGTAAATATATAAAGAAATGAATTTTCTTAAATACATAAATTCAATGTTGATAATGAAATTTTAAAATTACTTAAAATTTTAATTTTAAAAAATATATAAATTAATTCAAAATCATCTTGATAGAAAAAATCAAATAGAAAAAAATAACCAGGAAAGAATATTATGGCATTGGCACAACATGCATAATACCTACTAGGAACTTAAGGTAATCATGGTGCACTTCTTAAATCTTAAAGACAAACGCGTCGATAATTGATCCCATCCTGTGAGTTGGGACGATTTTCCTTCCTAACATTTAAAGGCAGTTCAGCCTATGTGGCTTGGATAATTACGGAATTAAGGAGGCTCTCTGGCTGTCTGGGTTTGTTTTGCTGACAGCAAAAGGTCGTGCATAGGTGGGAGAGATTGTCCGATCATGTCGTTAATTCTTACGTTGGATTGGCACTAATAATGGGCCTGCCACAACTTGAGAATGGTCGTAGTCCTACAATAAATTATTACGGTTACATTAAATTTTAAAGGTTAAATTTTTAATTTGGTCCTTGAATTATTGTCTAGACTTTTAATTTGATCCCTAAACAAAAAATTCTTGATTTGATCATTAAATTATTGTACAAACCCTAATTTGATTCTTACTGTTTACCAATTTGCCTCAAGTTAGTCTTTTCATACAAAAAATAACTCACATGTTTGTTACTTAATAATCAAAAATAATAATTTAATAATCATATGTCACATTAATAAAAAAACATATCAATTGATTTTGGTATAAAAGGACTAACTTAGAGTAAATTAGCAAACAGTAGAGATCAAATTGAGGTCCTACAATAATTCAGAGACCAAATTGAATGTCTGTATAATAATTTAGGAATCAAATTAAGATTTAACCTTTTAAAAAAAGTTTTACATACATATTTATTTTGTAAATTACAGGACATTATTAATTACCGAGAGCTTTGAAAGAACTAGTAGTCCTGGAATTAACTACCTCACATGACCTAAAAATTTAAAAAACCAAAAATTCACCGAGTACTAGGGAAAGGGATAGGATTAGACAACAAAGTCTAAGTCTACAACAAAAGGGTGTGATCTGATGGAATTCCAAAAAAAAAAAAAGTGAGCAACAAGCAATAATACCGTAGGGCCATGTTCCTTACGTGATCATGTAACTATTGTTTTTCTGTGTGAATATATTCCCACATCATTGTTTAAAGGTCAGGTAATATTATTTTGGTTAAATCTCCATTTTGATCCCTAAACTATTGTACGGATCCCCGATTTGGTTCCTGAACTAAATAAATCCCTGATTTGGTCTTTAAACTATCGTACGAAGTACAAACCCCCGATTTGGTCCCCACTGTTTATAATTTGGCCTAAGTTGGTCCTTGAACTATTGTACGGATCCCCAATTTGGTCCTTACTGTTTACAATTTCGCCCCAATTTGGTCCCTAAGCTATTATTTAACAGAATGACCAAATTGGGGTTAAATTGATAAACATTAGGGACCAAATTGAGAATCCGTACAATAGTTTAGGGACTAATTTTGGAGTCTGTATAATAGTTTAGGGACCAACTCAGGGGTTTCGTACAATAGTTCAAGAACCAAATTAGGGATTTCTTTAGTTCAGAGACCAAATCGGGGGTCCGTACAATAGTTCAAGGACCAAAATAGGGGTTTAACCTATTATTTTTGAAAAATATTGTTGGTACCATTTAATTTAGTTTTATTATTAAAAATAATTTTTTTAATATTTAATAATAGACTATATAAAAGAAGATGATATTTTTATTTTTTTTCATATTTCTTTTTATTTAATTCAAAATTTAAATTTAAAATTTTCAATTGATAGTTTTATATTTTTAATCAATTGAAATACTTCTTTAAAGACACTAAATTGTTAAACACTTTATTTGAACTTGCGTCCTTATACTTGATTATGTAAGTTTGTACCATATGAGCCATCATCTATTTAATGAAAATTGGATATGTGGATCTTAATACAAAACTTGCATCAAATCTAAAATTAATTCATTTAAAAAGGGTTAATAATTGATAAAACAACTAATATTTATTATTTAATAAATTAAAATTAATTTATAAACCCATATTTTTATATATTATTACCAAATGATTAAAAAAAATTATAAAATAATAAAATATAAGTGAAATTAAACAAAATTTAAGTGACCTTAATAGATAAGGTGTGGCTATGACCGTGCCCTTTTCTCCATCCCCATTTGCTTAATTTAAATTTATGTTTATCCTGAAAATTATTTTTCATTATATACTTTTGGTATGGGAACTGGGAAATGAAAGGTTAGCAGTAGCAATTTAGATTTAATTTAACAACACTGTAAGTAACTGTAGCTATAGGTTTTTGATCTTTTAATATCTTTAAAAAATAAAATATATTTTACACATTTAATATTTATATTCATTAATATTTCATATATTTTTAAAATAATAAAAAAGTATAGAAGTTAAAAAACAAAATATTAAAAAATATTGTTAAACGAACCTCAACAGAGATGTTGGTTGGGTAGAGCAGGCCGGGTAGGGTCCATTTGGGTGTAAAAAATAAAAAGGCGAAACTAAAAAGGACTTTGGTCCAAACCAAAGCGGGGCCTAATTCCAAATTCCAACAATGTAAAAAGGGGGAAATAAAATCACAAGTTTGATCAATGAAGGGTTGGATTAAGTGGTAAGTGTCTTGTTTCAGTTTAAGTAAAATTTTGAGTTAGAGACCTTGTGTATACAGTAACCTTCGTTAAGAGAATCACCCACCATTTTCAGGTGCGCGATCCGGATCGATCCGAAGTAGTCAGGGCGAAACCCCGAATAACAGGCAGAAACCAAAAAAAAAAAATTCACAAGTTTCAGGGCCCCCTCAACTGTTTCGTCTGTGAATGTGAGTTATGGGTGCGGATTCCTTAAGCGTTGTTGATGCTGCTTCACTCGTCCAAGTTGGGAAGTCGGTTCCCCACAAAAAAATCGCATGGTTGCAGGATAATTACCATGGATTATTGGGTGATCATCAATATTTAATATATCCTAATTATGCGGGATTAGGAAGAAGGTGAGAAAAATGAATACCTCCTACCATTTTAGCATCAAACCTTGACATGACAGCAATTGCACATGACAAAGAAATAGTAGGTGATGAACTGATGATGGAGTAGCCCATAAATAAGGGTTCTATAGCAGAGTTCCCTGCTTTGCAGTTTGCAACTTGCATCATCAATTCAATGGTCTTCGGTGTGATTTTTGGAAACTTTATTTCAATGGGGGAATCTTTGCTGCCCTTTCGGTTTTGGATCAGACTCACACAGAGACAGCTTAATGCTTTTGTTTCATATACTGATATACAATCTCAAAAGGGTGTTTGAACTTAATTAATGTTAATGCCGTGTCTTTCTTTAACTTTAATTGAATTTATTTAACTTAATTATGCTTTAATAGTATAGGTTAAATGTGTAATAAATGTACTTTTTTACAATTGATTTATATATAAAATTATAAAATTATTGCATTGAGTTGAAATGCAATTCAGAAAAATAAGGTAAGATTTAGAGAATTAAGCCAATGATGAATCTATTATATAATTAATAAGCAACAAATTAGTAATAGTAGTAGTAATTAAACAGAAAAGAATTGTCTATTAACCTGTCTATGTGAATGTAGTAAGGTCATATAATATGAAGCACATTCACATTTACATAGAAGCGAAAGAGGTATTTGCAATATTATCTTTTGCAAGGAAGTTTTTGAACCAAAATGCAGAGCGTTTGAGATATCTTTTCAAATTGTTTTTGAAGTCTACATAAGTGACACCATAGCGATCAGTATAACCAAATTCCCACTCAAAGTCGTCAAGAAATGACCAAACATAGTATCCCCTCACATCAGCTCCATCCCTGCTATACATACATACATACATACAATAATAATAATAAATAATCAAACTAATTAAAACAAAATATATGTATTATCCGGGAGGATATTAACCTAGTGTACTATTACTCACTTGATTGCTTTCAAGAGATAGGAGAGATGGAGACTATGGTATTTGATTCTCAAGCTATCGTTGAGGGCCTCCTTAATTGGCAACGTTTTATTGTTAAAGTCAGCCATTCCTGGAACAAAATTGTATTAAAAAAAAATCAGTTAATTAATGCACTTGTGATATATATAGAGGAATATTTATTCAATGGCAGACGGAAAGAAATTGTGAATAAGATTCACCATTCTCAGTTATGTAAATAGGAGGATTCATGTATTTTCTCTTGACATATTGCACCATTTCTCGAATTCCCTTGGGATATATATAAATCCAGCCATCTGCTTCCGTCTACACCACAAAACAAAACAGAACAGATAAATCAATTTTCTTCTTCAACAGAATCCAATTCATGTATTATATGAGTGATTAATTAATTAATAAAACAAGAGACAGAAAGAGATGAGAGAGAGAGGGAGTACCGGTTCACCAATAGGAACTCCATTTTTCTCAGCTGTGAGAAAAGGTAGAAAATGAAATGAATTAAATGAGCATCAAACCAAATAAAAAGTACTTAGTAATTAATTAAGAAATATATATGCTGTGCATATATATCACTATATACAGACTGGTCTCATTCACATGGCTGTCTGTGGTGTAGCTGCGATTGAGGTCGCCGGTAGGGCAGGATGTGCAATCATCTACATATCTTGCGGTATAGTAATTGATTCCGAGGAAATCAATTGAACCTCTAACCATCCTGGATTCTTCTTCAGTGAATTGGGGCAGTCGATTTCCAACCATGACTCGCATGATTTTGGGGTAATCGCCATATGTGACTGGATGAACAATCCACCCCAACGCAAAATCCAGAGCCCTGGAGGCAGCCTTTTGACTGACCACCGTATCATATTTGGGGACCATCCAGTATGTTTCCATTGTGATACCAAGCGTACCATTTTGAGAACCCTACAACAAATATATATATATATATACGTTTTACATTAAAGAAGCTTAATTAATTGCTATTACGTACAAAAGATATATAGAAAGAAAGAAAGATATGAATTGAACCTTGTATTTGTCCCTGTAGAGTTTGACAGCAGCTGCGTGAGAAAGAATCAAGTGGTGAGCCACCAAGTAGGGTTCGGTGGCAGAGTTTCCGGCGGTGCAGTTTCCGATATAGTCAGAACAGCGACCGGGTGCAGTAGTACCGTCAGAATAGCCGCATGCGGTGAATAGATTTGGCTCGTTCAGCGTAATCCAGTGCCTCACTCGGTCGCCGAATTCATTAAAACAAAAGTCCACATAGTCCCGATAATCATTTCTAAAATAAATAAATTTTTGTTTAGGATATATATTAATGACATTTTTATTAAAAAAAAATTAGAATATTAATGATATTTACTACTAGCTAGCACTACTTAATTAGTACTAATGTAAGGATAATATGTAATCATGGGTTGGGTTTTAGAATTAGTCCTACGTAGTAGTAGTAGTACTTAATAATGACATACACAATGTTAGGGCTTAAGAATCCTCCATACTCATCTTCAAGAGTTTGAGGAAGATCCCAGTGGAATAAAGTGACAAGGGGTTGGATACCTGCAGTGTAGTGCAATGCAGCTCAGCTGAATTTTACTTTTGTAATTTCACTTAAGTGATTGTCAATTATATATATATCAATATATATGATTAATTTATTATCAAATGAAGAAAAAAAAAATTACTATATTGGACCATTTGATAGAAGCTCGTCGATTAGAGAATTGTAGAAATCCACTCCTTCTTGGTTCACACCCCTGCTAATTTTGCCTCCTGATTGATGCACAACATGATCAATAATCAAGATTAAATAATATTCAAATTTAATTACTGTAGGACTGATCCTATATATATATGTATATGTATATGTTTATAAACTGATCAATTGGCCATATATATATATATATGTAGACACACACACCATAGACCATACCAGGCAATATTCTAGGCCAGGAGATAGAGAATCTGAAAGAATCCAGTCCAATTTCTTTCACCAGTGCAATGTCCTCCTACATTGTACATTGTGTATGTTTTAGGTTATTAGCTAGAGAAAAGATTAATTACTTTCAAGATTAATTTCTTTATCAGCAGCTAGCTAGGTTGCCCACAAACTAACTATTAACTCAAAAGTAAGAACACTTTACTAATTACTACCTACTGTACTGTTCGGTACCTTATAACGATAATAAAATTCTTCCGCTACATCGCCGGTGCTATGGTCTGAAATTTTTTCTGCAGTCAAACTTTTGAATTTCATCATTCAATATCATCTCTGGATTTCCAACACAAATCATGATGAGTAGTAGACAT